CTGACACCAGCTTGATGGTGCATGTGCAGTCAGATAACATGCCTTAGTTGGAAATATTAACATTTAACAAGGAAATTAATCTGTACCAACATTGCTGCTCAATATACCACAAACTGGATGTTTCACCTGATAGTCAAGTGCTGGCAACTAACGTGAAGCCAACACTTTTTGGGAGTTAAAAACTCCCAAACTGTTGAACTGCAGATGCTGTAAATCAGGAACAAAAACAGAAGTTGCTGGAAAAGCTCAGCAGGTCTGGCAGCATATGTGAAGAAAATTTCAGAGTTACCGTTTCAGGTCCAGTGACCCTTCCTCAGAACTTCTGGAATTGAGTCATCTACTGGGCCATTTCAAAAGAGCAGGTAAAAGTCAACTACTTTGCAGTGGATTACGTGTAGACCAGACTAGGTAAGGACTGCAGATTTCATTCCCTGATGGACATTTGAGAGCCATATGGGTTTTTAAAGACAAATCAGTTTTAGTTTCATACTATCAATGAGACTAGCATTTTATTCCAGATTTGTAAATCAAATTTAAATGCTCCCAGCTGCCATGGTTGATTTGAACTGATGTCTCCAGAATGTACAATTCAGGAGTACTGATCCAGCAAGGCTATCACAATGCTACCATCCCCTAAAGTACAAGCAAACAAAAAAACATACCTGCGAGGGTAGAAAAAGCAATTTTTAGTTCAAACTTATTCGTTTAAAAGCCAATTTATAAGTATTTTACTTTATCCATTAAGTTCGGGATCAGGTCAGTTTGTTTTTCAGCAACTCTGTGTCATTCAGTATTCTTCATTATATCCTTAAGGTGTAACACACTGGATAATGAGAATTTAAACAGAGTACATATTTTTCTACTGTGGCGTAAAGTTCATTTAGAGAGACTTTAGTCTAGAATGGATATGATAGCTGTTATCAGCAAATAAACTGCCATTATGCATGAAGCCATTGTTCTGTACAATTTAATAATCAGTAAAGTTTACGAGGTGATAATCAGCAACTTGATAAGTAGGAGAGCACTCTTCAAAGTTCCACCCACTCCATTCTATCAAGAGATTACAAATAAAAAGAAAGCCTTTTCTTTTTATGAGATAGTAGGAACTGCAGATACTGGAGAATCTGAGAAATTCTTCAGAATTTCTGAAGAAGGGTCTAGGCCCGAAACGTCAGCGTTCCTGCTCCTCTGATGCTGCTCGACCTGCTGTGTTCAACCAGCTCTACACCTTGTTATCCCTTGTCTTTTTATGTCAGGTTAAGTATAATTATTAAAACCCTGAGAACATTTTTAATATGCAGAACACAAACTCAGAAGAACCAGTTTCTGTCAACTGGAAAGTAAATGCTTCAATCAGTGCTCAAATTCTAAATAGAAGTTTGAAGCTTACTGTAATCTTGGCGTAACAACTACCTTATTTTCTCTGCACTCTTCACACAATATAACTCAAGAAACAGAAGTTACGAAGAGGCCTACAAGCAAATTTGACACCTACGCTTCACAACAGATCTTTCCACATTGCTGGACATGTGGGAAGACACTTCTAAACTGGCTGAAGACAGCAGCTGCATTAACTCAGGCAAATAATGCTATTACATCAGCAACATCTGAAAAAACAAATGGTGGAGAATTTTGCATGGAAACGGTCTCTTAAACCTTATCTTTGAAAGTTAGAAATACAGTTTGCCCCATTGGGTTGAATTCTGGGAACCTCATGTTTTAAATTACAAACATGCAACGAGAGGAAATGCAAAAACAATGCAGTAACAAAACCAAAATTGTGAGCCCAACCAAGTCCTAATTAGTGAAAGCCAGATATATAAACAAAATAAAATCCTGGAGATTTGGTAAAAAGCTCAATCAACAGATTTCAGTGTTTCCTCTGGAATAATTTACCTATGTCAGTCACGCAGAACGTAATTTACAACAATGACAGAACTGATTTGAAGATTTAAACAGGATGTCCGAGAAAGGAAGGGAGGAAACAACATTCAAAATCTCTGTGGAGAAAAGGAGGTTAGAGATGGAGCAGTACTTTGCAAAGATGGGCAAAGTGTTGATCTTTAAAGGAGACTTTTCCAGTCTTGTGGGGAGGGTCCTCAAAAATAGTTTGGTTGAGAGAAGAAAGAAAGAATTCATGCACAGGTAGACCCCAAGTTGCAAAAAGGTCTGTTCTGGAGCCTGTTCGCATGTCAATCTGTACTCAAGTTGGAACACAATGCAGGACAATACAGAGGAACTTAAGAATAGGAATTGTTTGGACATTGGTCTTTAGAATTACACCCCTGCATGAGATTGCATTCATAAGTACAAGCCTCACAAATCAAGGACTCTGTATTTGGACAGTCTTTTCTGCACATCATGTGGGAACACTCTTATGTATGTAAAAATCTGAAGACAGAGAAAGTGATCCTGGAATACTATGTATACTAGGTCACCTGGCTGGTACAGTAATAGTGAAGGAAGTAAATTTAGGACAGATCTTTGGGAAACTGCACAGTAATAATGCAGATTAGAAACACAGAAATAGAAAATAGGAGTACAAAATTCGGCCCTTTGTGCCTGTTCTGATACTCAATACTGCCATGGCGGATCTTCCAACTGAGTACCTTGTTCCTGCTTTCTTGCTATATCTTTAAACCCCGAGACCCAAGAACCATACCTAAACCTTCTTGAAAACATTCTGTGGCAGAGAATTCCACAGGCTCACTACACCTCTGGGTTGAAATATTTCTCTTCAGTCTTAAATGGCATTTCCTTAGGCTGTGGCCCCTGGTCCTTGACTCCCTGGTCATCAGGAACTGTATTCACGCTGTCGAGTCCTGTTAGAAACCTATGAAATTCTACAAGATCCTGCCTCATTCTTCAAATTGCCATTGAATTTGTCATAACTAATTTAGCATCCTATCATACATCAGTTCTGCCATCCCAGCAATCAATCTGGTATATCTTTGTTACATACTCACCATAGCCAGAATATCCTTCCTATAATAATGAGACCAAAACTACACACAATAGTCAAGGTGTGGTCTCACATGCTCAACTGCAACAAGATATCCTCTCTCTCTTGTTCTTAAACCTTCTCACTATGAAGGCCAACATACCATTTGCTTTCTTCATTACTTGCATGTTTATTTTCAGTGATTGGTTTAGAAGGTCACCTAGGTCTTGTTGCACCACCCCTTTTTTCAATGTATCACTATGCAAATAATAATGTGCCTTCTTGTTCTTGCTACATGTTACACTTCATCTGCAATGCATCTGCTCACTCAAAAGATGACCAATCACCTATACATCCACCATTTCCAAGGGCACCTCTTGAAGTACTCTACCATGTAACTATCGGAGACTGAGGAATTATCAAATTTTAATGCCAATTTCACTACTCACACCGATTTCCTCAAGTTCCTCCCTCTCTCTCTCTCTCTCTGGACCCTGGCACCCCAACATTTTGAGATGTTATTTATGGCCATTTTTTCCTGTATTAAATTGGACTGCCATATCTTGGTTCCCCATTATAACTTCACTGATTCTGACTGTAAGATTCGACAGATCCTGCTAGATGAGAGACTGAACAAGGTGACATGCCTGCATGCTAAACCTTGCTGATTTCTCTTAAGTCCTTATAAGGCAATTTGCTCTGGACGATATGCATCTTGATATTAATGGCACTTCCAGAATCTTCTGCTTCCTTTAGAATATAGATTGTCCAGTGCCATTGCACATCACATACACAAATAGAAAAGTCCATTCACATTCCTCTCATTAATAAAAATAAGTACAGGAGCAATGGGACCAATGGAACAGCCACTATGGACCTGCTTCCCACGATGGCTGAGAAGCTCACTTGCTGGGAGCCATGTACTGTTTAGATATTCAGCAAGCTGCCCCGACTCTCAAAAAAAGTGAACGTATCTAAGAAAAGGTAAAACAGCGAGAGATTTTCATTCTGAAATCACTTACTGTGATTTACCCATTGTCCCACGTTCCTTAAAAATCAGCTGATAAGCGAAATGCTTAAGATCAGTAGACTACTTGCAAAAATGAGCACAGTACTAGCTGCAGAATATGTGATCCCTATATTACAGCCTGTTTGGTCTTTATTGCCAGATTTGTGTGTGATCCATGTCAAATTGGACATGTCAAAGAGTCGATGATAGTTTTTACTGATTAATGCATCGAATTCTCATTTAACTATGCCACGAATCAAAACGTGAACTGTGCGAACCAAACTTCAGCGAAATGCTGACATTTAATAGCTTCGGACTTAAGTAGTCGCAGAATCCCTTTTGATTGACAAAAGAGCAAGTACACTCTACCAAGAAACAGCACTAAATCAAAACTCAGTACCGAAAACAAAAAGAAACACAATCACACAACCCATTCTTCGTCAAGCTTGTTTACTGCCTTCACAGCTCGCTCTTTCGCCCTCTCGACTCTTCCCTCTGATTTTGCTGAATAAGGGAGGCGATAAAAAAAATGGGACTAAAGTCACGTCGACGAATTTTGCTCTGCACTCCCCAAGGAATTTGCTGCGAAAACATCAAAGAGCCCCAGCGACTTCAGACAATGGAGCTGCAAATGGAAGAGACCCTTCCTTCCCCCAGCAATTCTGAACCGACTTTTAACACTCGCAACGGACAAACAAAAAAAATAGAAAACACGACGACCGGTTCTTTCCTTTCGTTAAACCCACAACGAAAAATACGTAGAAATGCAAAAACACTTCAATCGACCGTTATTTTTTTTTCGCCACCAGTAACTGTATCCTCTATGTGCGAGAGAGAGAGAGAGATAGGAAGGGAGAACGAAGGAGAATAAAAATTATGGGTTTTTTTCTGCGTCGCGAACACACACGCAAAAGTTGCAGGAGAGATCGTGTTTGCACCGAGGTTGAAAATTAAAAAAAAAGTGGCGGCGAAGGAGGTGGGGGGCGGGGGTAGGTGGAAGCGTTTGGATCGATCATTGGCGAAGTTAAGGGGTCGCATATCCCCCATTACCTTGTTCCGCACTTCGGCGGTGAGCCCGTACGCGGGACCTCGGTTGAAGTGAGCCATTCTTGCGAAGGGGACGAGATGGAGAGAGAGAGAGAGCGCGCGCGCTGGGTCCTGCAACTGCGGCCCGACCGGCAACCGACCGTTACTGCTCGAGAGCTGCGTCTGCCTCACTCTCTCTCTCTGTCTGTCTGTCGCTCGCGCGCGCCCGGCTGCCGGGCCAACGTTCCAATCCGCCTCTCTCTCGCGCGCGCTTTCTCTCGCTGCTGCTGCTGCAATAACAACACGCTCCCCGTTCTACACACTGCCTTCTCATCCAGCACAATGCAGAAACCAACCCCCACCCCCCTCCTCTTTTGCCATTGGAGCAGTCGCCCAACCAATGAGCCTCCCCAGCCTTTGTCTCGCCCTGGAAGCCCCCACTCCTGGAGGGGTGCTCATGGGAGGGTAGGAGAGAAGCCGGTCTATGTGTGTGTGTGTGTGGGACCAGGGACTAGCTAACCCATCCCCCTCTCTCTCTTCCCCCCCACCCAAAGGCACGATGGATTATGAAAGGAAGAGGAGTCGGACATCAACCCACCCTCCTCCCCATGGATCCTTATCCCAGGGTAGTAACCCTCCACTTGGAGAATTAGGAAAACCCAGCCCCCTTTTCTCTGGAGAGTTAAAGGGATTTTTTTTCTCTCTTTCTCTTGAGTTTAAGACATTCCCGAGAGGAAAGTAAGTTTATTGTTTAATAATCTTATTCCCGGTAGATCTTTCGTTCTGTGGGTTTTTATTCTACTGACAGTGCGCTGGGTTGTCTGTTTTCCCTGTACAGTACGTGGCAATCTGAGAACCTTTTAGATTTTGGAAGTTCCCAGGATCATTTCCCCTTTGACATATTTACTGTATCTGACATTCACAAATAAACTTTACATTGAGAAGAACATTGTGTTGTTTTATTGTGATATATGTCGAGAATGGATTGCTGAATATGTAATGCTGAAGTATATTGCTGTTCTACTGCTGTGCCCTGCAGAAGCTGTGGAGTTCTTTGATTAAACACCAGCTTGAAATACTGTGCGTCTTTTTGGTCACAGTGTAAGGATATTGGGTAGGCTTTTTAGAACTGAGATGAGGAGAGATTTCTTCCCCCAGAGAGTGGTGAAGTGGTTATACAGCCATAGAGTCACACAGCACAGAAACAAACATTTAGGTCCAATGCGTCCATACCAACCAGGTTTCCCAAACCAAACTAATCCTATTTGCCCATGTTTGGCCCATTTCCCTTTAAATCTATCCTATTTGCAACTGTAGCGACATCCACAACTTTCTGTGGCAGTTCATTTCCATATGCACTACCCGCTGTGTGAAAAAGTTGCCCATCAGGTCCTTTTTAAATCATTCCCCTCTCACCTTAAACTTATGCTCTCTAGTTTTGAATTCCCCTACCCTAGGGAAAAGACCTTTGCTGTTCATCTTATCTATGCCCCACATGATTTTATAAACTTCCTTAAGGTCACCCCTTAAACTCCCTCACTCCAGGGAAAAAAAGTCTGAGCCTATCCAGCCTCTCCTGATAACTCAAATCCTCCGGTCCTGGTAATATTCTTGTAAATCTTCTCAACACCCTTTACAATTTAATGATATATTTTTTCATGTTCCCTATCTCACCCTCTTTTCCTCACCTCCATATTCGTATTGTGTTTCCATTTCCCATATCTATGTTCCCTTCCCCTCTCTATGTCTTCAGTCTTCCTTTATTCCCTCCCAATCTTTGGTACTCTTCTCACTCCTACACTCGCCACTTCCCCCTTTAGTTCCTCCTCTCAAATCTCTACTATCTTTCCATTCTCAATCCTTCCATCATCTCTAGCTCCATTCCCTTCTCTCATCCCTCTGTCAATCACTATCAACAATTTATACTTAGGTATCACTTTTAACATAGTAGGATAATTTCATTATAATCTCTGAGGAGAGACCATAAACCAAAATAACCAAACTTAATGAATGACCCCCAAGTGAAAACTTACCAGCAAGATATCACATTTTGTACTTTAACGTGAATGGGAACCAATGTAAATTAAATATTAATTAACAGACAACTAAACTTCAAATAAAAATTATAAATTTCAGTTTAAATAGTTCAATATGTCAAAAGATACCACAAGCACAAGCATTCCCCTTCATCATGTATGGCACCACATAGCCAAATATTTCCAGAATACTCTATTCTTTTTTCATGAAAAGTAGGTAGGGAGTCATATCTGACAGTAACATTCATATTTTCATAATTACAATGATCATCAACAGGGCACATTTCTATAAACTCCCTCTCCCTTGTATCACAACAGTGCCAATGGTGTAGCTTTTCATATCAACCATTAACAGCCCATTTCATAGTTTGGTCATTTCTTGCAAAACACAGATCTGTAATGTCTGTGAGCTATTCACACAGCCTTCCAGGTTTTAAAACTTTTTGAGGCCAAATATTGAATGTTTTCAAGGAGTTAGATATAGTTCTTAGGTTTAAAGAGATCAGAGGGTATGGGGAAGAAAGCGGGAACAGGGTACTGAGCTACAAGACAGCCATGATCATATGAATGGCAGAGCAGGCTCATGGTGCTGAATGGCCTACTCCTGCTTGTATTTTCTGTTTTTATAGGGAAAACACAATATTAAGTCCTGCATGAAACAGATCCCTATTGAAAAGAATGCAGAATAAGAATGCACATAGCAAGTTCCCACAAATAGTAATAAGCGAAACGATGAGTTACTCCATTTGATTGAGTGATAAACATCGGCACAACACCAGGAAGATTTGTCTGCTTTTCTTCAAGTAATGCCATAATTCCACCTGAATGTGTGGGTAAGGTCATGGTTTAATCTTCATGCAAAGATAATACTTGCAACAAAGTGATACAGCACTACAGTATCAACCAAGATTATATAATCTCACTCATCTCCTGGAGTGAGATGTAAAATTACAATTCTAATTCAGAAGCAAGAGCACATTGGAACCAAATAGTTACTTTTTAAAAAAACTTAAATTCTTTGATTACTCAAGGTGAGTTGAAAACCAATCTGAATGAATAATTAAATGGTGATGGACATAAAAGGCATACATAAAATTAACAGGGGTAATCACCAATTTCTGCATATTGTCTACATCAATGACTTTCTTAATTTATCATCAGACGCTAACATTTTCTTGCTGATGATTCTATGTTGCCTTCCTCAAGTTGCTCTGTTCACAATCAACAACCATCATTCCTCTTGTGTTACAATGTCTTAGTAACTACATTTTAAGCTTTTCCACATTATTAAGAATGAATTCCTCTTTTCACATGTGAGATTGGTTATAACAGAGTTATTAAAATGTGTAATTTCTCAATTTACTATGTGGTTGACCATGTATATAGCTATATGAAAAAAATAAGCCAGACAGACTTGTGTCAGCAAAATTAAGGAGTTAGTTTTACTGTAAAAACACTGAGGTAAAATATAAAATGTAATAAAGAGGTAAAATGCATCCTAATTCTCACAACATATAAACACAATAGAACAAATTATAGAATGGGGACCGTGCTGTTGGAAAAACATAGAGATAATATGCAAAATAAATTAAATATTCCAAGGTCCTCTGATGATTGTGGCATTCCAGTGAAGTTACAGCCAGTGTAAACTGATTGTTCTTCTGGTGACAGTCTCTTAAACTGCAATCTATCGTTTTCCCAGTGTAGATGCTACAGCACTTGAAGTTTCTTTGATCTTTAAATTATCTATCTCTGTGATATATTTCATCTTCTAACTGAGATATAGTCGAAATTTGAAGAAAAATGTTGATGGAGTGCTGCTGTTACTATTCCATCCTGCAGGGCTTCTTAATTTAAATTTAATCATTAACTGGATGAAGGTGTTGTTGGTTAGACAGCATTTATTGCCCACCCCTAATTGCCCAGAAGGCAGTTCAGAGTCAACCACATAGCTGTGGGCCTGGAGTCACATGTAGGCCAGACCAGGTAAGGATGGCAGTTTCGTTCCCTAAAGGGTATTAGTGAACCAGATAGGTTTTTCCCAACAATGGAGTCACAGACATCATTATATTCTTAGTTCCAGATGTTTTATTGAATTCAAACTCAACTGTCTGCCGGAACCTTACCTGGGTCTCTGGATTAACAGTCCAGTAATAATACAACTAGGCCATCACCTCCCCCTACTGTGAGAAACAAACAATGTATAGCTTTTGGAAATAGTAGGAACTGCAGATGCTGGAGAATCTGAGATAACAAGGTGTAGAGCTGGATGAACACAGCAGGCCAAGCAGCATCAGAGGAGCAGGAAAGCTGACATTTCGGGTCTAGACCCTTCTTTAGAAAACGTACAGCTATTAACAAGAGAAAGTTTGGCTTTGTGATGTCTGGCTATTGGCACACAATGAGGATAATTCATGTCAAAGAAGGGGTTTTGAGGTTTTTTTTGTCAAAACTAACAATCAAGATGCCATAGAAACTGATAGGGGAGTCTTCAGAACCTGTGTTGCATAACAGATTTTGGTAGGTTTTTTTTCCAGATAGTTGAAGCAATGACAAGTGTGAAATTCTGCAGGGGAACTACCCTGTCACGTTTCCTGTTAATCCAATTCAGAGGTTTAAGAAACTTCACCACTTTTTAGGTCAGGTGACCTCAGTCATTGTGTTTTTATGTGTCCTGGCTCATTTAAAGTTATTTATTTTCAAACAAAGGTCCCAGGTATTAAATCAGTCAATGGAATTAATAGTCTATATATTACAATTCCACGGCAACATTCTTGAATAGGAAACAGCTAATTTTGTTTTTTTTGAGTTCTCTAAAGAAAGTTTCTTCATGTCCCTAGTTTGATTAACCGACAACAATTAACTTCCCTAATGCTAAATTCACCCAGCATCTTTTCTCATCTATAAACTTCCCAGTATTAAATTGGTCTCCGCCAATGCTCCATTGCCTTTCAAAATCCAGGCTATTTCATAGCATCTCCTCCCTGTCTTCTGTTTCCAACTAAACTCTGTACCCACCACCAAAATCAACAACCACCATGGCCACTGTCTATTACTGTTCAAAGATTAAAGTTGTATTTGGCTCTGAAATGAAATTCCAATCTTGTATCTTCTCCATCATAAAAGTACCTAATTCCATCTTGGTAACATCATTCAACCCTTTCAGCCTATTGCTGTGGAAACCTTCATTCGTGGCTTCATAGTTTCCAGCTCCATTATTCCAGTGTTGTCTTGGCTGACCTCCCATTCTCCACCAGTCAACTTCTGCTCATCTAAAACCTTACTTTAGCCTACCTTTAGGCGAAACCCTGTCCAC